GTCAACAACCTTGGCATGCCAGCTGAAAATGCATGGGCTTGGGCATGGGTGTTGTTAAAACCTAGACATCTCATCTGTCCTGAGTTCAAACTCTCAGTGAATGTTTGGAAACAAGTGACCTCCTATGACATTGTCCAGTTATTCAACATTTTTTCCCACTTTGGGGCAATAACTTCAAAACTCCCTACAAGACTGGATTCAATTAGTGGCAGATTGCTTCAGTATAAACTATGCTGAGTTGCTGAGCGCTTTGAATTAAGGATGATTTCTGGTAAGAACTAGAATGTCTGAGCATCCGGGACGTTCCTTACTTCCTTCGATGAGTGGGTGTTATAAGCAAGGCTGCAGTGGCTCTTGCCTGGCATCACCCCAGTTGCTCTTTACAGACCTCCTTACTGCCAGGAGAGAAAAATTTTTCCTTTCACCCTGGAGGCTCTAATTTCTTCTATATTCTGTCTGTCTCCTGCCTTCCGTGCATGTGTGGGTGAATGGTAAATGCCTTTGACACATTTGAATAGACCTGTGTTAGGAACAAGTCTCCTAAGCTTTTCAAAACCACCCATGAAACAAGCAAAAGTTGTCTTTCTCACCCCAGCAGAAAATTCCCAACTTTTAAAAAAGCTATCAAGGGGGAAAGTGGGGGCTACTTTGGGCTTCAGTAGCAGTGAACATTCAAGAACTTATTTCCTGGCACATTGCTAACAGACCTTCTCTATCCCTAAACATGCTGGACAAGATGACTTCATGTATCTTTGGGGTCCTTGCAGGACACAAAGGAGCTCAGTTAGAAGATATCATAGTCAACTAATTTAAACAAAGATCACAGAGTCCTAGAAGAAAAAAAGGAAACTCCTTTTTTTTTTGGGGGGGGGGGAGAAAAGGTTAGCAGGCTAAATAACACCATAATTTCACCAGCAGACCTTTTTAAAACAAGAACAACTAGCCCTCCTTTATACAAAAGACAAATGGACTGAGAAAGAAATTAGGGGAAAACACCCTTCACAACATTCACAAAGGACATAAAGTACCTTGGTTTAAATCTAACCAAGCAAGTCAAAGACTTGTATGAAAAAACTTCAAGTCTCTGAAGAAAGAAATAGAAGATATCAGAAGAAAGATCTCCCATGCTAAATGGCTCAGCAGGACTGACAGTAAAAATGGCCATCTTACCAAAAGCAATCTACAGATTCAATGCAATTCCCATCAAATTACCAACACAATTCTTTACAGACCTTGAAAGAAAAATTCTCAACTTCATATGAAATAACAATCCTCTACAATAAAAGATCTTCTGGAGGTATCTCCATCCCTGATCTCAGGCTGTACTATAGAGCAACAGTAATACAAACTGCATGGTACTGGCATAGAAACAGACTGGTGGATCAATGGAACTGAATGGAAGATCCACACACTTATAGACAGCTGATTTTTTTTACGAAGGTGCCAAAACCATACAATGGAAAAAAATAACATCTTCAACAAATGGTGGTAGTCTAACTGGATGTCTATGTGTAGAAAAATGTAAGCAGATCCATGCTTATCACCCTGCACAAAACTAAAGTCCAAGTGGATCAAAGACCTCAAAATAAAACCAGACACACTAAACCCATTAGAAGAAAAAATGGGGAAGACCCTTGAACTCATTGGAACTGGAGACAACTTCCTGAACAGAATACCAACAGCACAGGCTCTAAGGTCAACAGTCAATAAATGGGACCTCATGAAACTAAAAGGCTACTGTAAAGCAAAGGGCACTGTCATCAGAATAAAAAGACTGTCTACAGACTGGGAAAGGATCTTCACCAACCCTGTATCTGACAGAGGGCTAATATCCAGAATAGCTAAGTTCAAAAACTCAAGTGACAACATGTGCTGGAGAAGATGTGGAGAAAGGGGAACCCTCCTCCGCTGCTGGTGGAAATGTAAACTTGTACAACCACTTTGGAAATCAATCTGGCACTTTCTCAGACAATTAGGAATAGTGCTACCTCAAAATCCAGCTATATCACTCCTAGGCATATATTCAAAAGATGCTCAAGTATACAACAAGGACATTTGATCAACCATGTTTGTAGCAGCTGTATTTGTAATAGCCAGAAGCTGGAAACAATCCAGGTATCCCTCAACTGAGGAATGGATACAGAAATTGTGGTACTTTTACACCGTGGAATACTACTCAGCAATTAAAAACAAGGAAATCATGGAATTTGCAGGCGAATGGTGGGATCTAGAAAAGATCATCCTGAGTGAGGTATCCCAGAAGCAGAAAGACACACATGGTATATACTCACTTGTAAGTGGATATTAGGCATATAATGTAGGATAATCATACTAAAATCAGTATGCCCAAAGAAGCTAAGTAAGAAGGAGGACCCTGCTAAGATCCTCAATCTTCATTCAGAAAGGCAAACGGGATAGACTTGGAAGATAGAGAAAACAAGGAACAGGTCAGGAACCTACCACAGAGGGCCTCTGAAAGCCTCTACCCAGCAGGGTATTAAAGCAGATGCTGAGATTCATAGCCAAACTTTGGGCAGAGAGTAGGGAATCTTATGAAAGAAGGGGGAGATAGAAAGACCTGGAGGGGACAGGAGCTCTACAAGGAGAGCAACAGAACCAAAAAATCTGGGCCCAGGGGTCTTTTCTGAGACTGATACTCCAACCAAGGACCATTCATGGAGATAACCTAGAACCCTTGTACAGATGTAGCCCATGGCGGCTCAGTATCCAAGTGGTTTTCCTACTGAGGGGAACAGTGACTGTTTTTGACATGAACTCAGCAGGTGGCTCTTCAATCATCTCCCCTTGAGGAAAGGGCAGCCTTACCAGGCCACAGAGGAAGACAGTGCAGACAGTCCTAATGAGACCTGATAGGCTAGGGTCAGATGGAAGGGGAGGAGATCTTCCCCTATCAGTAGACTGGGGTTCCCAGGGGAAGAAGAGGGAAGAAGGGTAGGGTTGGCAGGGGACGAAGGAGGGGGCCACAGCTGGGATGCAAAGTGAATAAATAGTAATAAATTAAAAAAATAAGTTGAAAAAAGAATGTGCAAAAACAAACAAACAAACAAACAAGAACGACTTAGACCATGTTCTTGGGAGAAAAATCCAGTGAGATTGATGCAAACATTTAGATTCTGTTTAAATTAAGGTTCCTCCTAGAGTAATCTAAGGAGGAGAATATTTTCCTCGTATGTTTATGAATAAGATTTATGTTATTTTGTGCTTCACCACGACATTGCCAAAGATTTCTGTAGCCATAGAGGTCTGTTCCAAAGAGCACAGTAACATCGCTGGGACATATTAATAGACCTGTGTATCTTCAAAATTCTTCCTAGCTACCAGCCAGCATTCAAGCCACAGGCAGGAGCTCATTCGAGGATTAAGGTCCTCTTAACACCCCTTGCAAAACCAAATACTAATAATTCCATGCCAAAAAGATGAATGACTTGCTAACAGAATAGCTTTTCTTGTCATTCTGGCATGTGAGTGGTTCACATATTTTATGAAGCATTTGTGCTTTGACTTGGTCTGCCCTCAACATCTACCCTACCAGCCAACTGTTGGCACGCATGAAGGGGCAGGTCTGGTCCTTCAGATCCAAAACGACAAGATCTTCATGACACAGGGCAGCAGCAGGTGTTTAAGCTGGTGAGCCCACTGGCTCTCCTGCTCTCACACCCTCAGGGCTGCTCACAGGCAACCCATGCAACCAGGGCCAGCTGTACAGGCAAGGTGCAGGGCCCGTTCTTCTGAGTATTTTCAACTGGTGAGGGACATGGCCAGTTTCCCACTCTAGTGACCTAAGGGCCAGCTGTCTCACCTGCTATAGATGATAAGGAACAAGGGAGGGGAGGAGGGAATCTCTCCCTTATCCACGACACCACCCAGCACACAAGAGGCATGACCATCTCTCCTGCACTCATGCCTCTGGTGCTGGCTCACCCTCACCCCTCATATCCAGGGCCAGCTCTACTGTGCTGCCCAGGTGAGGTATAGGGCCTACTCTTCAGGTGATGCAGTAGATAGGGGCAGGGCCAACTCTCCTGCTCTCATGACCCCAGGGCCAGCTCTCCCAACTGCCATAGGTGGCAAAGGAGTGAGGGTGGAGGAGGGCATCTCCCCTTTGCCCATGCTGACCCATGGCAAACAAGTTGGGAGACCATCTCTCCCACACTCACACCCATGGGGCGGGCTCATCTGTGCCCTGCCATCAGAGTCAGCTCTCCTGAGTGCTGAAGCTGGTTTAGGGATAGTGCCAGTTCTCCTGCTGTCATGACCACATGGCCAGGTCTCCTGCCTGTCATAGCTGGTGAGGAGTGAGGAGAGTATTTCTTCCCTATCCGTGTACACTGCATGGGAGATGAGTGGCAGGGCCAGCTCTCCTGCTCTCATGACCCCAGGGCCAGCTCTCCTATGCTTCTATTCTTGGGACTGGCTCTTCAGCACCTCTTGCAGTGTGTGTGTGTGTGTGTGTGTGTGTGTGTGTGTGGTGTGGTGTGTAGGGGTTGTCTCTCCCATGTACTTCAGATGGCTAGGGATGGGGTCAGCTCTTTTGCTCTTATGCATTCCCGACCAGCTCTCCCATGATGCCCTGGCAAAAAGTGGGGCCAGTTCTGCACAGCAGACAGCAACATGTCCCTGGTTGGCAGCCCAAACTAGGGACTTCCATCTGGGCTTTGGTGGTAACACACCCCTGGTGCTTCAGAGTCATGGACTCAGACATGGTCCCCGGTGGCAGCACGGGCCAGGACCCCATCACAGTTGCATTTGGCATCACTGGCTATTCACATTAGGGTATTCCTCACTATCCTTAAGTCTCCATTTATGCTTCTCTTGCTCATGCATTATGGCACCAGTCTGACCATTTCAGGCATGGTCTGCAACCCCTGCCTTAGGCCTGCATGGTGCCAGACTGGTGGTCCATCTCAGGCTAGCTCCCTGTCCGGTCCCCCTTGTTCCAAACTGGTGGTTGTCTCAGGCTCACTTTTTTTTTTTCAGAGAATGTTAGGCTACTAATCATTCAGATGTTCGTAAGTCAGAACCCTGAGCATAGACATAGCCTCTCTCCTCTCTGCCACCTCCTGACACACGTGTGATACAACAGCCACACCTACAATGCCTCTAGGGGCAGGTGGATGGCCTTTTAAATAAGCTTTGCTTAGTTTAGCTCACTGTCTTTGTTGTGGGTTTGTCTGTGTGTCTCTCTGTATCCCTGTCTCTGTCTCTCTCTCTCTGACAAGGTCTCATGTAGTCCAGACTGGCTTCAAATTTCCTAAGTAGCTGAGGATAACTTTGAACTTCTGAACCCAGTGCTAAGTATGTGTTGTCATGCCCCTGCAGTCTGCGTGGTGCAGGGGATTGAACCTAGGACTTTTTGTATGCTAAACAAACTTTCTGCCAGTTGGGGCCATGTCTTCAGCCTTTTTGGCAGCATTTCCATTTTTTAAAAGGATTGTTCAAAAGGTTGGTATTGGGTGGGGGATGTGTTCCTACAGTCAATCTCAACTGGACCACTGACCCTCTTAGACCCTACTCCCTAGGGCAGAAACAGGATGTTCATAGGTGATAAATTGTGACTGTGCCCAAAGGTCCAGGAGAAGCAGACCATTGAGGCTTAGGAAGAAGTTGGGAGCTGCATTCCAGTGTGGTAGATTGGTATTACAGAGGCTCCTTGCTCAGGCAGGAATTATAACCACTTCTTAGCAACCATAGGCTTCTCCTGACCTTGGTTCTCCCCACACCAAGTCACCTTTTCAGCTCCACATCCTGGCTCAGGTAAAGTCAGAACTCCCAAAGAGCTGTTTATATCTAGGTTACCAGAGGTCATAAGGACAGCCATAAGCAGGCCCATTCATCTAAACAAATAGCTCCTTTCTTTTCTTTCAGTGACAGGCATTGAATTCAGAACCCTTTGCCTGCTAAGCAAGGGCTCTGCTACTGAGCTATGCCTCAAATTCAAATAGGTATCTCTTGAACAAAGTCTGCATTCTCTCTTCAGGGGAGGGGTCCGGGTAGGGGGAGCAGTGAGTGGGATATAACCCATTTTACATTGAGCTTACAGTCTTCCAGACATTAACTAGCTAATTAGACAGTTAGTGTTTCTTAGAGCTATTTGGGATATAAGGAGCTGCTGGATTATGGGAAAGTCTATCAACTAGTGGCCTGGCTTGATTTGGGGCACCAGCAAAAGTTGTTCTTGAGAACTGTTTCACCAAGTCTAAGATGTGATCAGGTGTAAACACATACCAGCATTATATGTGCCACTAAGACAGGAAAAATTCCCTCCAACTAAATAAGACACATTGTCTTCTTGGGACTTAGAATAGTTCATTCACTTTATTTGACTTAGATTTTTATTAACTATCATTGTACGCACAACCAGCAGAAATCACCGGATGGGAGACAGGTTCTTTTTTCTTTTATTGGAAATAGATATTTTTCCTCATACAATCTATTCTGATTATGGTTTCCCCTTACCCAACTCCTCTCAGTTTCTCCCTTTCCCTTCCATCTGGATCCACAGTGTTTAAATCTCTCTTAAGAAAATGAACGGGTCTCTATGGAATAATGATAAAATTAAATCAGATTAAAGAAAACAAGTCAGAATAGAACAAAAGAAACACACAGATGGGAAAAGGCCAAAGAAAAAGCGTAATAAACACATACACACAGGTATCCCATAAAAACACCAAATCAGGAGAGAGAGAGAGAGAGAGAGAGAGAGAGAGAGAGAGAGAGAGAGAAGGAACTGCCATTGGATTCATTTTGTTTCGGCCATTTACTGCTGGGAATGGGGCCTGCCCTTAAGTGTGATTTGTATATCCAGTAACACTATTAGAAAGAATTAACTTTTCCTTTGCCAGCCGTTATCAGTTGGAGATAGCTTTTGGATTAGGGGTTGGAGCATGTATCCACTTTTTCTCTTTAGCTCTAGAACCCCTCTAGTGCAGACCTGTGCAGGCCCTGTGAATGCTGCCTCAGTCTTTGTGAGTTCATATATGTGTTGATCCTATTGTATTTAAAAAGCCTTACACTCTTTCTGCTTCCTCTTCGGTAGGGTTCCTTAAACTCTGAAGGGAGAAATTTGTTGGAGACATCCCTTCTGAGGATGAACGGTCCAAGATCTCTCACTTTCTGCACAGTGTCTGGCTGTGGGTTTCTGTATTTGTCCCCACATGCTACAGGAGGACCCATTCTCTAATACTGGCTGAGCAAGGCACTATGAGTATAGATGAATGCTGTTAAGAGTCATTTTATTGCTATGTTTCTTTAGCATAACAGTAGTATTTGATTTTTTTTCCTAGATCCATGTCCTATCTAATCTCAAAATTTTGGCCACCCAAACAGTGTCAGGTATGATCCATCTCTTGGAATGGGCCTTAAATAAAATCAGATATTCATTGGTTATTCCCATAAACTTTGTGCCACCATTGTGTCAGTGTATCTTGCCAGCAGGTTAACATTGTAAATCAAAGGCTTTGTAGCTAGGTTGGTGTTTGTCTTTCTCTTTTGGTAGCATGGAGAATACTTTCAAGTTCCATGATCACTAGGTGTGAAGACCCTAAGTAGGCACCAGCTCAACTTCTGCATGTTCAATAAGTTGTATTGGTGTTCCCTTCAGCAACAGAGCCTTGCTGTCTGTTTGTAGAAGGCGACCAATAGCATTGGCCATAGTCGGGGTTGTTTGAGGATTCCCGTTGGACTCCTTTGGCCAACAACTTGATTAGATGTATCTCTAATTCATCCCCAGTACTGAAAGATTTATTTGGTGACAAGAGATGTCCAGTTGGGACTCCGAATCCCCTACTACTTGAATATTTCATTTAGATCATCTTTCATATATATATACATATATATATATGTATATATATATACATACACATATATATACATACATATGTACATATGTATATATATACATATATATATACATACATATGTGTATATATATATGTATGTATGTATGTATGTATTCGGATTCCATACAACCCCTCAAATGGCCCTTAGTATTAGCTTTTCCCTTGTATTCCTCCCTTATTTTCCCTCTTCCCTCCTCCTCCCTGTTTGATCCTTCCATTCCGTTCCCACCCCCTCACCTTCCATTTATAGCCATCTATTCTATTTCCTCTTCCTAGGGAGACCCATTCCTTCCTTCAATCTCTTGTTCTATGCCTAACCCATGTTATATGGATTGTAGCTTAATATCAATGACTGAACAGCTAACATCCACATATAAGTTAATAACTAAAATATTTGTGTTTCTATGTCTGGGTTACCTCACTCAGAATGATATTTTCTAGCACCATCTATTTACCTGTGAATTTCATATTTTAATGGCTAATATTCCATTGCATAAATGTACCACATTTTCTTTATCCACTCATCCATTTACAGACATGTAGTTTGTTTCCAGTTTCTGGCTATTATAAAGCAGAAATGAACATGGTTAAGCAAATAACCCTGTAGTAAGATGAAATATCCTTTAGGTATATGTCTAAGATTTTTATTTTTCCTTTGTGTAACTAAATCTTCAATTTTATTTCATTTTTTTTCATACTGAGATCTTGAGGTAGATTGATTCTCAGCTTCTTGAGGCACTGTCACACTGACTTCATCATGGCTGTACAAGGCTTTTTTTTTCATTTTATTGCTCTGTTTGTGGTTTCATAGACTTTATTAATTAATATCCTTTATTAAGAACCTCTAGCATATTCATAATAGCTATTTTGAAGTCCCTGTGCTTCAGCTATATTGCATTTCTCCAGGCCTACTGTGGTGGGGTTGCTTGGCTCGAGTGGGGACATGTTATTCTGGCTATTATTGATTGTGTTTTTATGTTGGCATCTAGGCATCTGGACTTGGGATGATTATAATTGTAGGTGCTAATGTCTGGTCTTGTCTTTGTTGGATGTGTTCCTTTCCTTGGTTTCTGTTGCCTACTCTGGTTCTTAGGAGAGTGTGGTAGCTGTAGGCTGTTTGGTAGGCAATGGTTCTGAGATCCTGCCTGATGCCACCCCTGGGGGACCCTGGTAGAATATGCTTCTAAGTGTTGGGAGTTGACACTTAGGAATGAGGAGAGACTAGAAGAGAGGAGGAATGGGGGCAGAGAGGGAGGAGAAGCCATCGCAGGTGATCCTCTACAGAGTTAGGGATGAGAATGGGGATTGGACTTGGAGGAAAAGACAGACAGTGAAGATCACCTATCTGATTCCCTGGCTGGCATGGCTGGAGGGTTTCCAGGAACACTTCTGTGAGCTGGAAGCTGAGACAGGGGAATGGAGTGATGGAGAAAGTCTGTAGGGAAGATCTGGGTGATCACTGGAAATGGGGACAAAGGACATAGATTCTTAAGGAATTCCTAGAATCTCTTTGTACTGAGTCCATCTACTTACTTTCATCACAGAATGGTTAATGTTGATACTTTTCCACACTATATCATTTTCTTGACCATTAAGAGCATTGTGATGTGATATTTCTGAAAAGAATCCATAAAAGAACTGGAAGCTGTTGGTACTGTACTGTAAGCCAAATGTGCAATTATGCGTCCATAACCTCTTCCTGACTTTATCTTGGAGTGTTGCTTAATAGTTCTGCCCCACCGCCCCTTACTGTTCCCCCACAATCATTTACTCCCCAGGAGTTACAAGAGTGAGCCACTTTGTCTTCAGGCTTCACAGCCAAACCACCAGCCCCATTCTCCTTGTTGGGATACTTCCACTGTTGATGTGGGTACAGACGTAAATAAACATGAACAATAGCATCCCAACAGCTGCCAGCCAACAGCCCATATCAATGGATGCTTCCAGATTTAGGTACCCCAATTCAGAGTTGTTACTATGTGGAAAGAATGTTTGAAAACAATAAAGCATGGTAGTTTCTAAATTGAGAGCATATAGATGAGTAAAAGCCAGACAAACAAGGAAAGAAGTTTGAGAGACAGAGAAGTCATTGCACAGACCTTAGGTTGGCAGAGTGTGATGTCTTCCAGGAGACTTAAGATCTTGGCTCTATATACATGTTTATTGATGCACTATTTACAATATCTAAGAAGTGGAACCAACCTAGACATCCATCAATAGATGAATTAATAAAGAAAACTCAGGGCATATCAGCAAAGGAATTTTATTCAGCC